CCACACCTTGGCCTTTGATCATTATAGAGTTGAGCCTTCAGCTCTTGGAACTCCAGGCCAGCAAAAGTGAACAAGAGCTCCCTTTCACCGGCCTTAATGAGAACAGTGTACACTGTTCTGTCTGGCGGGGTGTCAGACTCGCGGCCAGAGACAGCGTGCACAGGGAATGGCGCCTGGATTGTGACAAGGTTGTGGGAGCTTTTTTACAATTCCGCATAGTGCAATGAGGATGCTCTCGCACCCTTTTAGGCACCCCCACAGGTGTCTTGTTTTGATACCCTTTAGCATAATCGTTTCCTCCTACAATCGTTTCCACCCATGCACCACTATGAGGCAGGGTAGCATGCCAGGGACAAGCAGTATAATTTAGACATCCCTTACATCAAATAGAACAATAAAAGTTGACGCCCAGATTTAGAATTTATGTAATTATTTACATATATTATTAGAATTCTCTATAAGAAGGGAGGGGGGAATGCTAAAAATATATAAATAAGATGTCAAAAGTATCAAAAATCATTCTAAATAAATACATTTGTATATTAAATAAATACATTTGTATATTAAATAAATACATTTGTATACTAAATAAATACATTTGTATTTTAAAAAAATACATTTGTATATTAGATGAAAAGAGTGCTTAAAGTCGAAGCGTTATTGGAGCCATTACATTATGACTAAGAAGAACAAAATATTTAATTGGGGATGAAATGACTGAGGATAAATGACCAGTCACAATTATATATATATAATATATATCTAGAGAGAGAGATTTGAATTTACATACTTCTTAAAACACATTTAATATATATAGATATATATATATTTTACTAACTCTAGTTGTTTAGTTAAAAACAACATCAATACCATATCCAATAAAATCAAACAAAAAAACTTCTATATCCCTTCCACAACCATTTTGAGAATGTTTTGGTGTTAAATCATTTGTTAAATTAATTAATTGGAGAAAGTTTTAGGAACCACTGCATTCAAAGTTTTGTCAGACAAGTTTGGCCAGTCACCTGCAAGTCTGTAGCTATAACTGTAATTTTCTTTAGCACCATTGCAGTAGTAGTAGCTGATTGCTATCTCCTTGTTCTGGTGCTGGTCTCTTGATATCATTGTTTTGTTGTTGGGACAGTTTGGAATGAGCAGCACATCATGTTTGGGTAGTGAGCACAAAGACTTTATTGACCAGTTGGAACAAGTGGCCTTCTGTGTTGTTCTGGTTTTAGACGATGTTCTTCTTACTTTCTTTTTTACATCAATCTAAAAGATGACTTAGCTAACGACACACTTCAACACTCCAATTCATTTGCCAGAACTGTACCTTTTCTGTAGTGCTATAGTAAATTATAGCAATAATTTTTGTCAATTATCAAATTAACATAGAGTCAAAGTTATAAAAACTCTTCTAATTTAGTATTTAACCAACTAGTTGCTAAATGCATTTATTGGCTCACTGCAGCCGTACGTCGAATATGTATTTTAATATTTTATGTATTTTTAATTGTATTAACACTTTTCTGTATTTTTCTTAAATTCAAGTATTATCCAAGTATTTAAAAAACAACTTTAAATGAATTTTTAAGTCAATGATTTGCCAGAGTCTTGGCATTCTATATTTCTGTCATAGTTGGCTTCTCCTTCCAGTAGTCTTTTTGCTTTGATGGATCTTGGAATTGAATGTGCTAGCTTCATTGTCATGTGCATGTTTTTTAATGCTTGTGCTTTTAAGTTGCTTGACAAAACTTTGTGTATTCATTGTAGTGTAGACCATTGTGCATATTTGCAAACAAAAAGAAAGTGAATCTAAGTAGACTGAATTGTACATCACTTACTAGCTGTGTAGTTAGTGTGTTCTGTGATGTAGTCCTAGCACTGGGTGGAATCTTTTTAAGTATAGTATCATTTTAATAGTGTCTTAATTTATTTGCATTTACTGATGAATTTTAGCTAACATAAAGACAGCATATGAAAAAAACACGATTTCAATTTTAGTTTTCTTAAACGTTTTCTTCAATACAACTAACAACCATCCACTATTTGTATGTTAAAATAAAACAATACATTTTATTACTAATGTTCTCTTTTCTTTTATAAATAGTTCTATAAATGTATATAACTTTTCATTGTACAGTATCAAAAGTTAAACTCACGTACCTTATTGTGAGTTTTTTTAAAAGGTGGGCTGCATTGCATAACAATTTTATGATTGCAAAAAAAAATTCTTTTCAGCCTCACCACAACTCAATGTTAATGTACATTCCCTAATATAGTGAAAGTGGCTAATTATTTTATTATGAAAGCAGATGCTGGTGATAAAATAAATGGTTCCTCTTACTTAACAGGTGGTTAGCTCTACTAATGGAGATATGCAACCAGAAGACCTAGGCGGACAGTCCAATACGCCCATCACTCCACAGCCAGAAGTGGAAATCAATGATGAAACTAAGTATGTTCTTGTACTTCTTATGATTTAAAACTGACGATTTATCACTGCCCTTAAGTAGCTTGTATTTTGTTACTTATTATGTTTATTTATTTACTTATTATTATGATTCATTCCATTTGTTCAATTTGAAAAGTCAGTTGTTAAAAGTTTAATGTCTCTTGTTTTTTTTTTATTACTCTTTACATTGCTTTGCGACTTTGATGCAAAGTAATTATTTAAATTACATTTGTCAACAATCATGAGCTTGTTTTTCCACTGGACGCCCACTTCTGTCTTCTTGCAGGTGCTGTTTCTTCCGCCGACGCAAGAAGAAGAAGGGACGCCGCAGTTAAAAACATGGTCTGTGCTCATTTTCTCAGGTCTTTGATTAGAATCTAAAGCACTAACATCTTTCTTTGTGGCCCTCATGACTAACAAGACAAATGTTACAAAATTGTTACTGAAATTAACATCTCTTTAATCTCTAACACATGGAATCCTGAAAAAAAATATTTTTTATATATCTTTTTGTAAATTTTCATTTTTCTGTGTTAAAAGAGATTTAGTTTAAAATTAGTTACTCATCTGCTACTGCTGGTATTTTAGTCTAGAAATATAACTCAATAATGAAGAATAAAATTTGAGGACATTCAGAAATGATTATATTCTTGGTGTAATAGATAAGAAAAAAATCAAGTCAGTATTTTCATAATTTCAAAACATGCGAAATAAGTAATATGATAATCTAAATAAAAAATTTTTTGTTTAGGTGACCACTTCAGCATAAAAAATAAAAACATACAGCTGTAAATGGATGGTAGAAGTCACATTCCTCAACTAAATCTACTTATTGAAACAATAGGGTGTAGAGGTGCAGTTAAATCAATAGAATTCACCCTTTTGGGACATAAGTAAATAGTTTGTCCATGGTGGTTCGATGATGACCACTCTTGTCATCCAGGGGGGGCTGAGGGCTTTGCAATGGGGTTTTGTGCCTCCTCATGTGGCTGGTGAGACCTATGTGAGCCTAGAATGTTTGGCTGCACACTGGAGCTAGTGTCATTGGCCTTTTTTTTTTTTTTTGGACACTTTTGTTCTGCCAGCTCTGTTCTCTTGTCCTCCGCAATTTGTGCGCCAGTTTTCAAAGCTCCACGCCATGATGCTCTGTCATGTGCTTCTGTCTCCCAGGTGGCTGGGTTAATTACTTATGTTCATATAGAATTGTTTCACTTAATTGCAATACCTATGTCATAGAACCTTTTTAAGAACCATACAATTGTTGCATTCCTTAGATTTTGTTTTTCAGTGAGTCCAATTGCCAAGAAGTGTCATTTAAGTTATTACTGTTTGTAGTTGTTTTTTTTTTCTTTTCAGTACTTTATCTTGTAAACAAATATTTCTATTCTCTATAGGTGCTGTGGTTGCTTCAGATGGAAAAACTCAAGACCCAGGACTAAAGCGAAGCGTCATAAATGACGAAAGGCACTGGGTCACCAGAGGGATACCAAACCATTAAAGCCATCAGAGATATCCTGTGACAGCATATCAGCCGACAGCTCACACCTCTACTCAACCAATGCTAGAGATGACCTTTTACCTCCACATTTAACAGGGACCTTCCCCTCCTCAAGGGCTGCTGCTTTAAGTGGTTTTGTAAACCAGACATTCTTATGACATAATTTTCATGTATTTTGTTTTCTAATAATTGAATTTCTACATTTGGACAACTAAAAGACGAAAAAGAAATTCTGCTTGAAACATTGCCAACTTAAGATTTTGTAAAAGTAATAAAAGTAAGCTCTTCAGTTGAAACTACTGTTATAGTTCATAGAAATAACATTCTATAAATAGTACATTCAAATTCAATTGTTTCTTACAACAGTAAAAAAAAAAAGCTATTGTTAGCTGAAGATTCTGGCACAGTATTTCTCTGCCCTGCAACTCCCTCTGCTGTGACTCAGTGAATGCTTGTTTTAAACATATGCATGTTAATGTACATAACATTTGTTGTTTTTTTTTTGTTATGTTCTTTACTGCCCCCTATCCCCCATGAAAAAATGTACATAGTAAACTGTCCAGCTTGTAGTTCATCTATAGTTGAAGTGGGCAAATTTTTTTTTCTCTTCTACTTTTTTTTATAATGCATCTGATGGCTTCATCACTAAATGCTTCTAGCTTTATGTTCATGAAAATAATTTTAAAAAAATGATCTACCATCTACTGGCTTTGCAGTCCTGTGAGATATTTTATTTTTCTATGTGCACATTACACAGCAATGGTTACGTTGACGCTAAATTTATTTTTGGAGATGTAATAAACCTCAAAGACTTACTTTTATGTAGAAATTTTGGAGATGACAATGACAATCTGCAGCACCCTGTTCATTTCACTGTACCAATGTTAGCTTGTCATTCACTTAGTCAGTTCTGTCAAGAAAAACTTTTTTTTCTCAATGCTGTATTCATCTTTCCATTGTTCAGTCTTAAGCTAATTATTCAATCATATATATTTTGTTTATCATAGAGAGTTCACCTGTATTAAATGTCGGATGCCTTTTTTTTTTTAAAAAAAAATATATATATATCATATTGAAGTAGATTGGGGAAAAAAATGTGTACGCGGAATAAGGATAAACTGGGAGACAGTTGTTGCCAAATTTTGTTTGTATCTGTTCCCAGTGCAAGCCAAAGTGATGTTTGTGGACTAGCTGCATGTGTTCTCAGTTGGAATGAAAGGGATTCTTGTTGACTTATTCTAAGAACACACTGTTCATTACAAGTATATCACTCAGCCATATCTTTTTCATTGATTTGTTCATTGGCCTGTGTTTTTGACCTGCTGATATGTCCCCACACCCCAGACAGCAAGACTGTTTCTAGGCACTAAGTAGTTGCTTATCCTATTGTAGCAGCTGTGATCATGACCTGCCAAAGGGCATAAATAGGGTTTTTAGCTTGTTTTTGATGTGCACTATCTTCTTTGTAGTTTTGAAAAGATATGTCAGCCTTTTCAGAAGTTTAAATTTCATCACAATGTTTCTCATAAACGTTTTTGCATTTACATGTGATCAAATTAATTAAGTTTAATAATAATTTTTTTCACCCTAATAATTGACATGGATGAAGCAAAAAAAAAAAAAAAAAACTACAAAGAAAATGCAGTATCTTATTAGACCTAATTGTATATGGTTTCTCAAACCCTCATGAAATGTCAACTTTTCTGTCCCCGTTACTATGTAAGTGAAATGACTCTACAAAAGTTACTCTGTAATGTGTGTCACTGGCTATCTCAACAGTATGGTGCCTACTCAAAACTTGCTTCTTGGAATGACTTGATCAATCCAAGCTGTACTTCAAAATGTCACAATGTTCACCTCATTCTTGTTTGGAAACTCTTTGGTTTGATTGTTTAGTTCTAAATGTGTTGTGTGTGCTGGTAATACCAAATCAGGAAACTTGGATGCACACCAAGTGACTTGATGACAGTTTTATAGTCAGTTACTTGTTTATAACAAAAAAAAAAAAAGTCCATTTGAAAATTCCTTGTAATTCACATTTTATTCAGTTTTTATATGTGTTGTATGCAGTTTCTGTTTTGTTCAAATGACTTTTTATTTGTTTGAAGATCCAAGTAAGAACTATTTCTATATCTTTATATAAATAAGTGTATGAATGTTGAGGATAGTTTTGTGTTTTTTTGTTCAACTTTGAAATAACTTTAATCTTATATTGTATGAATGTTCCTTGTCATTGGAATGGATTCATTTACATGTAAATATCTTTTATAGACAAACAACAATTATTTAAAAGATTTAATTTCTCTTATAATTAAAAAAATTAATTGATAATTAATTGTTTGATAACAGGGTGCAATTAATGACTGTGAATGATGTTGGTGTGACCTGTGAGCTACTATACTTACTTATGCTGGTTGGGATTTTACATTCAATGCTTTCATAGTAGTTAGTTTAATTCTAATCCTATTGTTCTTGAATCAGTACATCTCATCCCATTGTCTTGCTACTTATCCAATGATTATAATGCTTATGAAATAATAGAAACAACAAATAGATCTTCTCACTGATACCTCTTATTACTATTATTACAATTATGATTGGATGGCGGTCATGTGGTATGTGCTCTGGACTGTCATCTCAATGGTCCTGGGTTCGAACCCTACCTGCTGGCATTTCCTGCCTTACTGTGGGAAGCTTGGGCTAGGAAGTGATAACTTTTAATTCTGAGGAAACATCCAATACCTATAAAACAAAACCATTAATCCACAATATACAAATTATCATACTTCATTTTCTATATTTATAAAACAATTTCAAAATTATTAGTTCCACTATAAGATCTTAGTAATAATGGTAGCGGGGGGGGGGGGGGGGGGGTATTTACTTTCTGGATAAGGTATTGTTTCCATAAAGATAGAACAAAGAAGTTAAATTCTGATAGCAAAGCCCTAAAATAAAATTTACAGCTATAAATTAATACACTTTATTGTCATTTTTATCAAGACATAAATAATAAAGAAATGAACTATGTAATATTTATCTTCCTTTGTCCTACTGTATATAAGCAGGGCTGTGGTGACTGTATGACATGGGACATATGCAATAGACTTCATTGTTGCCATGGGTCTGTCTGGACTGTTCCATCGAACAAAGACCCAATTCTCAATGTCTCCTACTGGCACTGTGTACATAATTACTTGATGTGTCAACTGTGTAAGATTGATATCAACACTCTGCCTCTTTATGAACTCTAGTTAATTTGTGATTGTACAGGTTCTCTTCATATAGCCTTGCTAAATTTTGACTTTTTTTTTTATATCATTAGAAATTGACTAAAGTGAAGATACCTATAGAAACATAAGTGGATAGTTCAACTTTGATAGTGATGATTCAATATACATTTTTTACATGCCCTATTGGGCATCTTGACAGATGTCTCTGTTTTTTGCTGTTGCTTTTGTGTGTGTGTGTGTCTGTTTTGCTTTCTGAACCTTTGTGTTTTATTATTAAGGCCTAGAATGTTTTTAGATGAGGCTGGAGAAGTATCTGATTTGCTTTTGTCCTATTCTAAAGATGATTCATTGGGTTCTTGTGAAATGAAACAAGTGGGAAGTTGTCCCTCTCACCATCCAATCACTATTTGGAGTTTCTGACTTGTATATTGAACAAGATAATGGGAAGCCTGTGCTAGTCTTATTTGCTTATGTCACAGTGAGAAATCTGGCTAGACTAAACTTATTTCAGTGAAATACTTTTTAATTGTTGTTTTTATCAGCCTAGAAATAAGAAAGGCTCTAGAGCCTCTTTATGTCCTCTGTGTGTTGTAGACAGTTTACCTCCCTTGCACAACTGCCTTTTTCCCCCCCTCTGCCCTTCCACCCCACCCCCCAGAACAACTTTCTTTGTACACATGCAAGTTTGTCTTAAAGAAGTTTCACAGTAGACAGTTCTGTAACTGAGCAGTGAATGCAGTGGTGGCAGGTGATTATGTTCATGGCCTGCTAGTGCTTGTTCTCAAGTATTATAGTCAATGTTATTGGAATGAAGAGTACATGGGGCCATGCTCTTGATGCTTTTTTTTTTTAATTAGCTTTGTTGTGTGAATGCTGATATCATTATAATTATGTTTCATTTATTTAAAAAAAAAATATACAAAACTAATGGCAGAGTGTGAATGGTGTTTAGTGGTGGACGCATTTTGTACATGACTTAATAAAGGCAATTCTTACAAGATTTGTCGTCTTATCTTTGTACTCAGCTTCAATGTCTGGGTCAACTAATCGTATTGGTCCAAACAATAGTCCACCCCAGCTGTACTATTTTAACAAAATACATTGTACCGTACATGCAAAGTCGAACAACATTCACACACACGACCAGAGCTTCTCGAATGACTTTGAACCACTGACTGAAAGTGGTGTGGATTAGGGGGGAATGTTAGTGCTGGCCACACATAGCGGGACCACGTTATAGTGTAGTACTAACCACCCACCAGGCACATGTGGTAATCATGACAAACTGACAATAACATTAGAAATGTTAGACACTTAATATAGTGTACTGGACTTGCTCTACTGGTGTTGACTTTAACTTCAAAACTCGCGTACTTTTCAGTATCTTAGACCTTTCTAATCAAAATCTAACTCGTAAAGATAACTTTATCTACTTTGTTTGGAATTTGTCTAGAAAACAGCCACTTGAAATTCTGAACACTTCAAAAGGGCAACTAGGAATGAGCGCCTTGAGTTTTCTTTTTGTTTTAAGTAACCTCCACGGTTTAAATGCGCTTTGTGACGAGTGTCGACTCTTGGGAAGCATAAAAGCTGGTTGGTCGAACTGAAGTTACGGCTGTTTGAAATGTTTTGTATACAGTTAGACTTTCCACACCCTGAATTCAAGCCCCTTTATGACAAGATACTCTGTAATTCTGAAATAGCTCGTGATGAAAAGATCATCTCAATCTTATTCTATAACGACACTACCGGTCATTAGTCTTTTCTTGACCAACTATCGGTTAGCTGGATACAACTCTTTGCTAAATCTTATAAGTCAGGAATTTCGTTTACTATCTATGCATGCCAATTATACATTAGTATTACTTTATATTGAACTACTTTAGGTAGTTTAATCCAGACTCTATCAAAAAGTATGTAAGGAAAGGGGAGCGTTATTAGTCACCTTTTAGTTTTACAAAATTGTATGGGTTTCCAGACGAAATCTTTAACGAGCTCAGAGGCGCATACATTAGGTTACATTCAATGAGATGAAACGCCATAGATAGAAACTAGGATAAAGTAAAGAAGCAATAAAATATTAACACAAATATCATGAATTTAACAAAATGTATAGACATTACTGAGTTGGTGCCAACTGTAACGCGAGATGCGTTCCTTTGGATCACATCAGCAAGGTCGAGAGAGGGATCATTAAGCATGGGCCACCCATGACCCCTTTATCCAAGGCCCAGGAGTGCGCTCCGGAGAGGAAACTCTGGTGCTGCTGCAAAGCAGCAAAAACCCAGTGACTTATCAGGGCGCATCCATTGTCTACCGAGACAGAAGGAACCATATTTAGACATTAAGATCTAATGTGGACAGTAACAATAGTTTCTCCCAACACAAGAGATGGAGGATCAATAAAAGCTTAAGCTTGGCATACGGTGTCATGAGCAAACTGTAAAATTTGGAAGAGTAGCAACAGCTTCAAAGTAAAATAAAAACTGTATTCGTCATTAGTGGTCTCTAGTCTCTACATTTGTATGGTTGTATAAGTTGGATACTGAATGCTGAAAAAGAATCCAAGCCTTTGAGAGTAAATGCTATATAAAAATGCTGAGTATCAGAAACCAAGAAAAGTAGACAAATGAACCAGTACTTGAACAAGTTAACACTGGCTGGCAAACAAGGGAGATTATTCCAATACTGCGAAGAGACGAAAGCAGAGCTAATTTGGTCATATTGCAAAATGTCGACTCGCCGTCGTCCAAAGTAAAGCTGTCTGGATAACGTACAAGAATGCACCGGCCTCTCCTGAGATTCTGTCAAGAACATCTGCTGACCGGGAAAAGTGGAGGGACTTTGTTAGGTGAACTGTCACAGCTCCTAAACGTCACATCACCCTTACGACGAAAGTCAAGGGACAGATGGTGATGGCACTGATGATGAATGTCAGTGAGATAAAAGAAGATGTGTTTGTGACTTGGTGACTTATTTGGACATTAAATTACTAAATCCTACGCTACTGGACTAGCAGAAACATATTTTAAGCTAAGTAGTGTAACTAATTTTGTAAGGAGAATATTCCAAGACCGACAAGCATTAAACCTAACGCTGCTTTTAAATGCTGAGTTTAGGATGGGCATACGAGGTTCTTACAGCTACGGTACTGTACTTGTCTATCAAATGTTAATTTGGTCTACATTGTGTGTCTAATTGAACAGCACACCAGGTACTATTAGAATGAAGGGGTCCACTGTCAGCCATGTAAGAAACAGGAGTTATTAGTTCTCATAAACAATTTGTAAGTCTTTGAACTGTATACCCACTTATCAGCTCTACACGAAGTTCTCATCTCCTCCTGATTGATCGATCTATCAGCAGTGAATGTAGTGACTTGTAGAAGGAGTGTTAAAAACAAAGTTTCACTCAGACAGTTTGAGTAAAGGTGACAAGGACACAAAATGACTAAGAGCTGACTGCCCCCCTCCCCCATTTCATGATTTCGGAATATAAAAAAAAAGCTCTAGAATTTTTTAATTTTTTTAAATTTTTAATTCATAAGCTTCCATCATTGCAAAAAGTTGGTGAAGATCTGCAAATTTTGAAAAGGCAGAGCTATTACTTCTGGATGTCACCGAAGATACTAACATTTATTTTTCTCTTTTTATGTACGATTACTACTCCTATAGCTTTCACTGCAACCGCCAGTCATAGATACTATCAGCTAATTTGCTAACAAAATTCATCCTTCATTTCTGATCAAGTGTGTACATGATTGCATGGTCTCTAGAAACTACTATAAAGGTAGAAATATGAGTAATAAGAGGCTTACTGGAGAGTCCTATAAGATGATAGCAGTCAATAGTAAGTAATCAGAAATATAAATTAACTTTCAAGACTAAGCAATATGAGCTAACTTTTAAGACTAAGTAATTAGCTATATAGTCGTGTGGAGCGCTCTCCGGACTTTCCTGTCGACATTTCCGGGTTCGAACCCAGACCGCCGCCATCCCTCTTCATCCCTAAGCCTAAGACGTAGTAAACTTTAGTCCAGAAACGATGATTCCAAACCTACTAGTCCAGGTCAACTAGCTTACAAGAGAAAGATATAACTGCCAAAAAAACAATGTCAACAAAATGTATAAGTATCTTGATCCCAAATAAAGACACAAAAATGCGTGTAGTGAAGATAAGGCACACCCTGTCCATGTTATAAAACACGCCATGTGTAAACAAGCTCTCTCTCTCTACTTGACAAACTCCTCTCCAACACTAGTGGACAATGACAGACACAAACTTAGCACTGACATTGTTCCAAGAAAAGGATCTACGTTTGGTGAGAAGAGAATATGTAGCTCGTTCTGTATCAAATACATATAAGCCACAATAGTTACTGTGTTAAGATTAAACATTCTATGTGATAATGTATTCAAAGACTAAGCAATATGAGCTAACTTTTAAGACTAAGTAATTAGCTATATAGTCGTGTGGAGCGCTCTCCGGACTTTCCTGTCGACATTCCCGGGTTCGAACCCAGACCGCCGCCATGGTCATGGTTATGTAATAGTATATGAATGTTTAGGCTGTTTATAAACAAACACATTGTATGAATAATATATAGGCGTGTATATTAGAACATATATAGGCTAATTAACATTCCAGGCAATGGTGCCACCACGCATCGTTTCGTCTGGTCTACTCATCTGCCTCCATATCTCACACCGTTGGGACCGCGGTTTTCGCTATAATGTCGGCTTTGTCGTGGCACCCACTGAGTAAAACTATGTACACTATGTTGTTTTAATAAGATTTATTGCTCACTTAGACTTAGACTATTATCCCCCCCCTCCCCCCCCCCCCCCGGGCCGTTCGGCGCATTGGGCGGCAAGCTGTCTTCATAAAAATCTGTCACTGTCAATGTCTGAAGCCTCTTTCCACCTGGTGTCCACTGCTCTGAGGTCCTCCATGAAGGTGTGGCGCAGTTATACGAGGACGTCCCTGTTTGCACTTTTTCGTATTTGCCTCTTGGTATGCGTGATCCATTCTGTCGGAGGACATGTTCAGCAAATCTAATGCGTCACTCGGTCACAACCTCATTAAGTGGTCGAGTCCCGGTTCGGCATAGGATTTCTTTGTTTGAGACCTGATTTTTGTAGCAGACTCCGTCTAAGCCATTTTAGTTGAGCCGCAAACAACCACAGCCTTTGGAAAATGGCCTCTTATTTCTATTATGTGTTTTGAATTCATTTGTGCACCAAGTCACTTAAAGGAACTGATGTCTCATACAATAACTGATTATTACAGGTTGAGACGCCAATACCGGAACCTCAAGAAGGAGGTTGGTAGTACAAACATTTTCAACTTTTACTTGTAATAATAAGTTTTTTTTTGTTTGTATTTTGCCCCCCCCCCCTTTTTTTTTGGCCTGGGGGGGGGGCAATTATAAATTAAAGCTAATAATTATTCTTTATGTTATTTTCATATTAATCAGTTTGTAACAGGCCTTGTGTTTAGAACCAGGTTTGTATATATTGAGACTAAGATAGAATGAACTACACTTTTTTCCATCAAAATGCCTGATTGTTGTACTCTTTTAGTAGTGGTTGACTGACGACATAGTGCTCACAATCTAAGACATTCGCCCATCAAAAGGCTTTCAAAACTATCATGAGATGAAATATTTAATGACATAATAATAATAATAACAAAAATAATAACAATCTTGCTATGATTAAAAATGTTTAGAGCTTTGTCATGTCAGAAGAAAGTCAGAATTAATAACGTAAAAGACCTACAACAACCCATCTGTTCTTGTATCGAGGGAATTATTTATTTCTTTTTTTTTTTATAGCCTTTCTTTGGCAATCGCTCGAAGAGCGAGTTAATTTGAGACTTGATTAAAGATCTAGATTCTAGATGTAGGGAAAGAAATTGTCCTGAAGCTACATCTTTACTTTACTTAGTAATTCCCCCCTCCCCTTACTCACACACACCAAATGTTAAATGTGTTACA